ACTGACTGCTAGAATGAGGAGACTACCGAATGCAAAGAATAATTTAATCAAATACATTAGGTGAAGCTGCATTAGTTCGAGTTAGAAAAAAGTGAAGGAAATAGTTTAGGTTAGAAAACAATGGAGGAAATAAAATTGATTCTTGAGCAAATCTAAGAAACCTTATAAATAACATATTTGTTGACTCTTTATACTAACAGAAGGTAAAGAAATTGAGGGTTCATAGCAAAATACAAGGGGAATATGAACCAACATTGAAATGCTTCTATTAAATAAGTAACTATAAGACTGAAACATATATACAATATTCTGTTATAGGTACTATGTACAAGTTAATCCTCCCCAAATGCTAAGCTTCTGTTAGCCCCTGACTGGGCTGCCTGGTTCAGCAGCCCTGGGCTCATAACTGAAGATTTTCCCTGGTAGAAAACATCCCTGATCACTACCACAGCCAACAGAAGCTGAGAATGATCCAGATACAGATGCCCCAGCAGCAGGCAGGGACACAAATAAGAGTCAAAATAAATGTGTTTCCTTTCTGCACTGCCTGAAGTAAGCACAATGTGCAACTAACCATCATTATATATTCTCTTAAAAACAGTTCCCACCCACAAAAAACAAACAAAAAAACCCCAAGACCATTAAGAAAATATAATTCATTTTAGCTCAGAGAGATACAAACAAGAGATACACCCTCTGATAAGTCAAAAGTTGCCAACATGCTACTGGAGGAGCTGCTGAAATAAATCCTAAGATACAGACATGTTGGTTAGTTAATTTAATACTGAAGAATTAAAAAGTTAGATAAAAAAGCTATTCCAAAATGTTGGTTTGGCAGATAGCTATTTTTCGTGGAAAATTCCTTTGTTTTTTCTGTTTACTGTAAAATGAGATAGCATGATTCTGGAATAGGTTTGCTATAAAAATACATTTTTTCCACTGAAGGAAAAGACAGTGAAAATTCAAGTAGATAAAATTCTTTTAAAGGAAAGCTGTTCATTAGTTTAAAAGCTGCTCGTTGACTACAGAAACCTGACCCTCCACCTTGCAACCCACCAATGCAGGGAGCACACGAAACCACAGTTGTTTTTATTATGGCAAAGGCCTAATTCCCAGCAATGGCCATGTGCCCTCTTAGGTTTAAAACTCGAGTAAAAACATGAGACATTAAGATAGTATGCTTAGAAACAAGTCAAAAGCAGAAAGGCCACAGACACTGTCAACTGGTAAGTGCTTGAGTTCTCACCTGAAGATAACAAATTCATATAATATTAAAATAAGTTGACGTAAGTCAGTTCATCTGCTTGTCAGCATTGTGAATCACAATGAACAGATGTGAGAAAACACAGATTCAGATAAAACGAAACAGGACCTACTCCTTCCCCTTCCTAAATGTACTGCTTTCCTAGGATGCACTGAGAATTAGAAGGTATTTTCTTTTTTTATAATACGTTTTTTCTGTTTTTTAAAGTAATCATTACTAGTTAGTTTACCCTAAAAGTCTGTGTTTACAGCTTTCTCTCTTTCTTCTTCAATTTATAATGCAAATACACAATACGTAGCATTGTTAGAGAGTACAACTGCACAGACCATAGCTGTAGAATTCATCGTAAGTGAAGCGACGGATGGAAGGTATCCACCATAACTGAGTAAGGCTGTATGCCAGGACAAAGAAGCAAGTGTTCTGCACAGCACCTTCTACAGGAGGATGTACAAATACGGGGAACCCGTCTGCCGTAACTTTTTTACATTAGAGTCCCGAACTTATCCAAACTACAGTGGAAAACTGCAGTTCCTGTGCCTTACTGAAAATGACCTGAAATGGGCACCGACCAAAAGGAAAAAGAAAAAATGAGGCCTGCTCCACTTTTAAAAGCACGTGGTAAGATCATATTTTATGTCAATTTATATTTTTTCTTTAAAATGGGAGGAAAAAAGACAGGTAAATAGTCCTTGGAACAATGCTGCTTGAAAGTGGACACACAATATATACTGTCCCACCACTCCCACTTTGTCCACAGCTGCTCACTGAATCTAAACCTACACATAACAAATTACTTGTTTTGTGTGAAGGGATCTTTATTTTTAAAACAAATGATTCTATCACAAATTATCTACAAAAAGAAGCTAAAACTGAGAAATATCTAATTAGGAACTGTCACACTGGTTTTTTATTAAGACTGAAGAGACAACTGAAACAATATGGGTCAAATTTTAAGTAGTATTTAAATGACAGTTCTTAAGGGCTGGCCCATGGCTCACTCAGGAGAGTGTGGTGCTGATAACACCAAAGCCACGGGTTCAGATCCCTATATAGGGGATGGCCGGTTAGCTCACTTGGGAGAGCGTGGTGCTGTTAACACCAACTCAAGGGTTAAGATCCCCTTACCAGTCATCTTAATTAATTAATAAATTAATGAATGAATGAATGAATGAATGAATGAATGGCAGTTCTTATACCAAGGTCAAGTAGGTAGAGGTGGTTTACATGATCGTAACAAAGGCAATTTTTAATTCTCTTTCTTCAAAAAAAACATTCCCTAGGGTTCAGATCCCACATACAGACCGGTTCCCGCTCACTGGCTGAGCGAGGTGCGGGCGCAACACCGAGGGTTGCAATCCCGTTGCCGGTCCCGGTCCGGTACGGGCGCGACACTGAGGGTTGCGATCCGTTGCCGGACACGAAAAAAGACAAAAAGGAAAAAAAAAAGTCACTCATATATCAACAGATCTTTTATAAAAATAAGTAATAGGATTTAATCTATCTAGACTTCAACTACTTAGCAGTCTTACCTACCCTAAATAAACCTATGAATTAGGAACTTAAGACAAATTGCGGCCAAGGAGTCAGCTATGCTCGCAGCCCTTGGTCGGGGCCAGCTTGTCATCTCAGAAGCAATTCTGACCAACTCAGTTTTTGAATTTCAAAGTCTAGGATAGATTTCAAACAGCAAATCTGAAGGCAGGTAAGGGGATGGTGCACAGGTAGAAATACAGAGCAAGTGACATTAGGGGGAGGACAGAAAACAGTAAGAAGTGGGCACAGCAGCTCAAATAGCAGAGGGACATGGACATTCAGGGAGGAGCACACTGCTGCGGACATATTAACAGGACCTGAGGATACACTGTTTCAGCATGAAAGAATAATTACTATTCATTAGGGTTCTTCATTAAGCAATCAAGAGTTAAAGTATATTTAGGAATATAGATAGGAATTCTTTAGAAAGGCTTCCATGAAATAGATTCATCCTTTATTATATCAGTATCAATTGAGTGTAAGAAAATAAGTCACATTTAGTTAAGCAAAACAAATGGAAATTTTTTTCCTTTTAAAAAAGTAAAAAAAAAATCATAATCCTGGTCCCATTATGCACACAGAAAATTAAAACAAATTAAGACATTCAACTTATACTACAGCAACTTGTAAGATCCATTTCACTCATAAAGAATGTTTCAAGTAACTCTACAGAAGAATTCTCTAGAAGTCTACCTAAATCCACTATTATGAAAGAAATAGCCAGATGTGGCTGGAGGTATGCCTCATGGGTCCCTTTTCTCACATTATTCAGCCACTGTTACTATACAAGTAACGTGGATGTGACTTAATCTTTCTGAACCAGATCAGTTCACATACATAAGTTAGGAGCTAGCTACATAAAATAAAAGCATGATAAAATTTTTAGCAAAGAATTCTTCATGAACTACCCCAATCCAGTTTGCAAACCCCCATTATTTTTTCACGTGGATTTTAAAACCAAAAGTTACCCTTCTTCTAATAAGAGGTTATTAAATATTAGCCCAATATTTTACCTTTATATTTTCATTTCTAATTTAGTAACATTACTTTACAACTACTATAATAATTTATTAGAAGAAAATCTGACTAAAAAAGAGAAAACTTTTTTTTGTCCTTTTTGAGACCACCGCACCGCGCTCAGCCAGTGAGCGCACCGGTCATCCCTATATAGGATCCGAACCCACGGCGGGAGCGCTGCTGCGCTCCCAGCGCCGCACCCTCCCGAGTGTGCCACAGGCTCGGCCCAAAAAAGAGAAAACTTTAACTGATTAAAAGACGAAACCAGTTGTTAACTGGTTTTTATAAAATTAAGAAAGCGTGACTTGCTAAAATTCCTATCTAAGAAAACTATCATTATATTAGTCAATTAAGACATCATACTATTTCATTGCTTTCTACATAAATTTTATTAATATTAATATAACTTCTGTATACTGATCTCTTACTATGCCCAAGCACATACAATGCCTAATTTTACCCTCATTTAACAGATAAATAAATTAAGGCTAGTGAAAGGTGAATACTTCAATTGGAAACCATGTAAAATACTGACTTGCATTCATTACTTATAATATTCTGTACCTATTTTAATATCAGCAACTATATATATTTAAAATTCAAAACAAACCAACCTCCCCCACCCAAAATCTTAAAAGACCATCAGTGAATGTGGTCCTATCTACTTAAAGTTGACAGGGTAAAACAAGAAAAAGTCACAGAAACCTAACAGAGAACATCAGGGGTGAGGAGACAGGCCAAAGCTGGCCACCACCTGGTTTTATAAGTAAAGTTTTACTAGAATACAGGCACGCCCATCCATGTACGAACTGTATATAAATTGTCTTTATGCTAAAATGGTAGAGTTGGGTAATTATGACAGACAATTTGGACTATAAAGCCTAAAACATTTACAGAATATTTGGGCCCTTTACAGAAAAAGTTTGCTAAGCCTGGTATATATTAATTCTTTACAACACAATGGTAACTGTACAAGTATAAGAATAAAATCTAATATTGTAACCCAGTGACAACATCTGTTATGAGCATGGCTGTTAGCTTAGAAGAACCACCCAGCTGAAACAAAGCAGGAAGATTTCATGAGTAACTTGCTGGACGGAGTGAACAAGGAGGCACAAGCTGATCACAGGCTTCTTTTCAGACATCTGTTTGAGATCAAACGCTTTTGCTAAGGAAAATGTCCTACCTCTGGTTCTGCTTTTGCTTCTTCTTTAGGTGGAGCCATAGGGCTAGCTGGCTTGACTTTTACTTCAGCCTTGCCCTGTGAGCTCCTGGAGGCCACCACAGCCCTCGCAGGTGGTGACATGCTGATGACAGGTTTCACTTGGGCTGCGGGCGTGGAGGAGCAGCGACTGCTGCTCATTTCGATAACGTGTGAGGGTGCAATGGGTAATTCACGCAAATTACTGTTTCTTGGAGCAGTAGGCTGCATTTGCTGCATTGGCCGTTTGGTTACATTCTGAGATGTTGTATTCTGTGGGAAGAAGAAAGAAATTCCAGTTACAATTAAGGTACACAAAAAGCACATTTTGAAGTAAAAACATAATACATCATTCTAATTAGTAAGTGATCTCTCTTTTGGCGGGTAGATACTTTTCTCCTTGGTAAATTCTTTTTTCTCATGCCTAAATGATGTACGTAGCAGCATACCCTGATGTTAAGGACTAGAACTGGAAAAGCTATCACACTTTCCCATAGATAGGCTCCTCTATAGAAATTACATTAGGTGGTTTTCGGTTGGTGTTTTAGTATGGGGACTGACACTTTTAACAGAACTAATAGAGCCAAAAAAAGCACTCTATCTGCCACAAGGAGTCAACCAGATTAACAGTACGACTATTTTTAGTCACCAAAATTAAGGCGGAATGAAAAAGAATCAAGCATTAAGTCAATGTCCTAAGAAAAATAACTCGCTGGAAGAAAAAGGTGCCAGAAAGTTTTGTCTAAGAGGATATTCTTGGTCATGTTCATCCTAGGGAGTCTTAAGAGAGAACCAGCACCTAGAGGAGTTAGAGATACGTGAGCTAGCTGGGGGAGGGTCCACTCTGAGGTCATGCAGATCAAATGTCCAAGGGCACAAGTCTTGTGAGAAATGTCTTCCATCCTTCTATCAAATGAAAACCAGGTTATAAAGCACCCTTTCCGAAGATCTAGAAATCCTTTCTTATTGCTTATATCATTTTAGTTACAAATGTTACTTTAAGACAGAAACGCAGGTATCAGGAAAACTGAGATTCAAGGTAGCTAAGTGACATGCTGGAAGCTCACTGGTTAAAAAAAAAATACAGTACTAAAAGGAAACCTTACAGCCTAGAACTCTACCCGTTGGCCACAGTGTATCTTTTCCTGGAAAAATAGTTTACAAAAGCATCTTTTATATAGATTTTTATTTAATGGGGGATGAGGTAATGACTTTTGCCTTAAATTTTCCGAGCAATACATTATTTCCCAGTTTCTTTCAATGCATGACAAGCCACACATTTGCTGATGGTCCTTGAGAACATAAGCCCACAAATAAATGCATGTTAATCTCCCACAATTGAATATAAGCTCCCTGAGGGAAGGGAACTAGTCTCTTTTGTTCACTGCTGTACTCCCGGGAACTAGAGCAGTGCCTGGAAACAGAATATTCAATACATTTTCCTTGAATTCATTTACTTATTTATTCAGAGCCCAAAGAGACAGAAATCATCTATGCATCAAAAAATGAGCCACTGGCAAAGGCAGGGTGACTACTGCCCGAAAGTATTTTCCAAAGTTGTATGTCTATTAAAAAATAATATCTATCACTATAGAAATATCTAGACATATGAAAGTAAGATGCTGAATATTAACTAAGTCTTTAAGGTACAAAAGGGATGTTATTAATTTCTGTAGTCAAGAAAACAATTTCCTAAGTGTTTTTTAAAACAGATTCACTTCAGGAAAACATACTACGTGTCTTGTTAATTTAAATCGGAACTGGAAAATATTCTAACGCACAAATTATGCCTTAAAGTTCCATAAACTGAAAGCAATCCCAAAAGCCACGGGAAGACACTGTGTGACACTTACGTGCCGCAGCCCCTGGCGCTGGGGGCACTGCATCCGACTGCTGCTTGGCTGCGGCTGAGCAGTCTGCACGTGCGGCCTGAACTGTGGCTGGGACATGGGCATCAGGGGAGGCGGAGGGGCGGGAAGGTGGTGGTGGTGCTGGTGCTGCTGCGGCTGGTGCTGGGGGGGCGGCGGATGCTGTGGGGGAGGCAGTTGCTGAGGGGGAGGCTGGTGCGGAGGCTGCAGCGGGGGCTGGTGCTGGTGGTGCTGGGGCTGCTGCTGATGCTGGGGTTGCTGCTGCTGCGGCTGAGGCTGATGTGGAGGTGGCAATGGAGGGTGCAAGGGCCCCTTCCAATTTCAAAAGAAAGAGAAACAACAGTTTATAAAAAGATACTAGGTATATTTCATTTCAACTATTTCCTTAAAAACTTCAACATGAGAAGAAACATTAAGTGGTACTAAAACTTTATTTAAGATTTGCAGATGAAGGTAATACTATTTAGACAGCTGTAACCCAAAAGCTACTTCCTCAAATTTTATATTTGCCCTAAATCCTTTCAATACAGTAATTCCAGGATTAGTCCTAAGGAAGTACGTACGATTGTGAACAAACACATAACCTCAAGTACGTTCCCTACGGCACTATAATAGCAAAGTTCTGAAACCAATATACAAGGGTATTTCAAAAAGTTCATGGAAAAACAGAATTAAAAGAGATAATGAATTTTTTGAAGACCCGTCATATACAAATGCAAAAACAGACGCAGCATAAAACGTAACCTTGGGCAGCATTCTTAAATGATGTAGGGAAAGACAATTCATTATACAAAAAGGAGATCTCAGTGATACATGTTTACTGGGAAAAAGCATGGTGATGACAATGTGTGTATTAAAGAGAGACTGAAAAAATATGAACCAAATGTTAGTGGTGACTGTTTCTAGGTAATAAGATTATTTAATTTCCTTCTCTTTTTATATAAAAAGAAATATTTTATAAAACATTTATTGTCCTTTAACACATTAAATAATAATTGTTGTCCTTTTTTAGCTTATCTACATATTCTATGTGTTTCTAAACAGCTGACTCAAGTATACCATCATATGAACTTAAAATACAAGAAGAAATACGGGGTAAGAAAGATGTAACAGATACTCAAGTCAACCCATGAACATAAGGCTATCAGCAGAGGGCACTCAAGTCTTTCAAATAATGAGTGAGTGGCAACACTTATTTTCCTCCATGCAAAGGATCTTTTCACTATTGTAGAAACATAACTTGACAAAATACTTTATTTCCACTGGCAAATGTTTTTTAAAAATCTTGCAAAGATGAACAAACATAATATCAAAAGATGCCCTAATTTTATTAGCAGTATACCCTTTAAACTAAGTGACATTTTTCAACTCTCCAAAAATGACAATCGCGTTTTCCATTTTTCCTAGTATTAAAGGAGATAAGCAATATTGTCAAGAAAGCTGTCTTTAACAAACAGTACATTTAAGATTAATACACTTATTCTTTAAATAACCGCAAACTAGTAGACTAGAATAAACATTTTAAATGCCTGACTTTTACGAGTTACACACACACTCTTCCCTCAAGGTTCGGTCAAGGATGCATACCTGCAGGCTAGGCTGTGCATGCGTGGGCAGAAACGGCTGTCCCGGGCCAGGCAGGAACGGCTGTCTAGGAGGAATGAAAGGCCGTGTGGTCGCTGACCCTGGCTGGCTAAAATGCAGAATCCCCACTGGACCTGGAGGCTGCAGGGCTGGTCTCACAGGCCTCTCTCTTGGGAACACTGGCTGCTGTCCTTGTTGATTAAATGCTGGTCCGGGCTGAGTGAAAGGTAAAGGACTCTGAGTAGGAACAGGATGACTACTGTTAAGAAGCGTGGGAGGAGGTGGTGGTGGAGGAGGACTTCGCTGTTCCAAAAAAAGATGACTCGGGAACCTTGGTTCACCTGAAACTGTACAACAAATTAATCTTCAGGTTAGAAAGACCACACACTTCTTAGAAAGCAGTTTTATATACTGTCTTAGTGTTGACAAAAATTACAAGTGTTGGTAGGGTGTGAATGGTTAGAAAGAATTCTAGATTTTGCCTCTTATTTCTAGATTGCTTTGTCAGTCGTTTTCTATAAACGATTTCCTCCTTTTTATGAGATTTTCACGTTTCAGATACTAACACTGTCCAATTTTAACATGTGAAACAATAGGAAGAGCTGCTATGTACAAAAATCTGACATTCTTAACAAAATCTCCTCCTGGGAGTTAAATGTAGTTTAGAAAATAAGTGTGGAGCTGTCGCCTAACGCAGCTTTTGCTGTGTCACTCTGCACGGCTCACTCTCCATGTACCTCCTAAGAAGAAGGGGTCTCGCTCCTGAGGCGGGGGTGGGGCTCTCCACTGATCCTGGAGAGGAAGTCGTGGGGGCTGGCTAAAATTGTTAGGAACAGGTCCAGGTGTATGCTGTGGAAATTCTGGAGGGCCCTACAGAAAGAAAGAAAAACAGGAAGAAAAACAGAAAAATATTCTATAATTTTCAGAAATGTATACATGGTTCCAAGTTCTCCTCTGAAAATATCATGAGTAACTTATCTCATATAGTATCTCTCTACAGACACACACACACACAGTGAATGGTTAGAAAGAATTCTAGATTTTGCCTCTTATTTCTAGATTGCTTTGTCAGTCGTTCTCTATAAACGGAAGAAAAACAGAAAAATATTCTATAATTTTCAGAAATGTATACATGGTTCCAAGTTCTCCTCTGAAAATATCATGAGTAACTTATCTCATATAGTATCTCTCTACAGACACACACACACACACACACACACACACACACACACACACACACACACACACGGTGTATGTATTAAAAAAACACCTCTACATGTTATAAAACAGATGATTCTGCCATAAGTCTCAAAATGTAGCATCTAGAAATTAATCCAATGCTTTAATATTATCACAGTACCACAAAAATATTATTTTTAAGCTTACTAAAATCCATTCAATTATTGACCTTCTTTCCCATTAATCCAAAGGACTAAATGTCTGCTTTGAACGTGCACGACATTTATCTTCTCAAAGATGCTATTCTTTGCTACTTATTTAATAAACCATAAGCTACAGCTATGAAGCTGATTTACTTAAAAGAAAAAGAAAAAAGAAAATCAATTTGTAGCATAACAAAAACCAGCAATCTCTGACATAACAGAAAAATGTAAAATATTTAAGAAATCAAATTACTATAAAAGAAATATTACACAGTCAAATTCCTTTGGATAAAAAATTTTAAACAAACTCTTACAGATTATTCAACCACTACATTTTTCAATAACTACATGATACTAGTAGAACTTCACTGAGACAAACTAAAATTATTTCATTTTTTAGTTGGCCTTTCATGCATTCATGAAGATTTTTAAAACCACCATATTTACATAATAGCAGCACTTAAAAAAATGTTCACAAAATTTTCACTGCTCCAAAAAGAAATACTTCATTAATTATTAACTATGATCAAAATAAGTTTCATTTACTATCAACCCATTCTTTGGAATAGAACCAGTATTTCTCAACTCTTAAAAATCACGCTTTCTCATAAACTTAAAATTCTAATGCCTGTGTGTCATTTTATAACTAATACAATTAACTGTTCCCTCTAAATGTGACACCATTTCACAACACTGAAAATGCTTTTACAAACTACATCTGCCTTCCTTCTCCCTTTAAAAGTCTGCTCTACCCATGGTATTGAGAGAATAATGCAAAATAAACGCCACAAATCCATAAGATTGTTGGATATATAATGATAAAGAAATTATGTTCAAAACACAAATATTAGGTGTTATTAAAACATGTTGGGGGCCGAGCTCGTGGCGCACTCGGGAGGGTGCGGCGCTGGGAGCGCAGCAGCACTCCCGCCGCGGGTTCGGATGACCGGTGCGCTCACAGCGCTCACTGGCTAAGTGCGGTGCGGCCGGTCTCAAAAAGGACCAAAAAAAAAAAAAAAAAAACAGCAGCACTCCCGCCGCGGGTTCGGATGACCGGTGCGCTCACAGCGCTCACTGGCTGAGTGCGGTGCGGCCGGTCTCAAAAAGGACCAAAAAAAAAAAAAACATGTTGGAAAAAAAGTCCAAAAGCTTAAATTCTAGTAGCTTTTGTAATTTCTTTAGGTAAAATCAAGAAAATCCTCACTGTACCAATGTCTGATGTTAGGGAGATCTCTTCTCACTCTAGATAAAGATAACAGTTAAGATATAACCAAAGCAATAAATGTCAATAACTGAGGAGGGTAAGATTTATAAGTGAGTAAATACATTGCACACACTCATTCTTAATTATAAAGGTTTTAACCCTAATAAATGTGTACATTTTATCATATTAATGTGGGACTTCACTGATACAATGCTTTGGTACGGATATTCTTTAATATTTTTACTTTGCTGCTAATATGCTAGCAAAATTATTTCTAATAGGATAGGTTATTAGACATTGTTACTTATTAAATGTGCAGGAGGAGTTTCGATGGCCTTGTTTACTTTTGTCTATTGACAAATTCTTTCCTTTTGTTTTAAAAATACTCTTGTTTTTTGTTTGAAGTCAACAAAATATGTGGTGTGCATCTGCAAGTTTCCCCCAAAACAATACTGTATTTTGCCAGGTAATTTAAATTGTTTGTTCTATTTATAAAGTGGAGCATTAGTATCCAATCTTTAGTTTTATACATCAACATTACTCTGACATATACAAGCATTTCAAAACACGTTTTAAAATAATCTTCAAAACTTTCTGGATGACAATAAATTAGCAATCAAGGTTCTGCATTATTTCAAAAAAATATTTAAATGGTGTTTCTTGGAGTGACATGGAAAATAAAAGTTACCGGCTCTGGTTTATGGGGAGGTTTGGTCATACTGCCCACTATCCATGCAGATTAGCAACGCTGGCCCTAAGTAAAAACCCTTTTCTGACTAAGCAGCCTGTTTCCTTAAGCTGTTTTGATGGATACTACTTGACTGCACTTTTACTTCTTTCAGTGCAAGGGAAGAGTTTCAAAAAGACAAAATACAAAAAATGAACAAAAAGATTCATTAAAATAATTTACATTGAGAAGTGCAAAACCGACAGATGAAAATTATGCTACTCAAAAGTTGAAAAGTGACAGCAGCACCACAGCCTGAAACAAGCTCACAGTTGTGAAAGGTAAAAGAAACTGCTCCAATTTGAACCTTTATGAAGTTTTAGCTTACAAACAGAAAAACTAATAACATACCTGAAAACATGAAAAACCATTTCCAACTTTTAAAGCGTGATAAATCATAGCTCTCTCCAAATAACTGAGCTGTAGTCATTTAGAAGTAGGTTTGTTTTGATTTGTACCAAATGACTAAAACAGGACCACCTAGATATGAGTTTGGTTGGGGCAAATTTCAATTCAATACACAGAGATTTGTAACACTCAGACCCCATCATCCAGCAGAAGCATCCAATCAGCAGGAGAACCACCACCTGTCAGTGCAGTCCCAAAATAAACTGGACTAGGGAACCCTCAGGGTCCAAGCCAACTCAGAAACAGTGGGTCTGTGGACATTCTTAGAATCATGGAAAAAGCTAAAAGCTAAACTGGTAAACTGGCTCACGGTGGTGCAGCTGTCATGCTGCCAGGCATGGGAGGGCAGAGGACTGAGTCAGGGAGAGGGAGCCCCTGAATTAGTGTCGATATGGTGCAGGCCTCTGCTTCCAAAGTCTGGGATGTAGGGGGTGCTCATGAAGAGGTTAACTGAATTAAATGTCGATTTTCTGGCTTACCTGGCTGGTGTTGATGCCTAGTGGAAGCCAACTCGGGAGCCTTGAGGACAAAGTCAGAGCCAGGAGTAGAGATGGGCAGCAGGTTCTGAACCAAGACTCGGGTCCCAAGCAGCAAGGTAGAAAGGCACTAGCAATGACAATGGGAGGCCATTCTTTCCAGACACATTCCCTACCACATGGCAACTGGTGACCGCAGTGATTCTCACAGAATTTAAGTAATCCTGGCCAGTCCAAAACAAACCAGTCAAGAACAAATGCTTTGTAAGCATCCACTTCAGAATAAGGACCAAAGGGGACCTGGACACCCTGGGTCCACTGGCTGATTCCAGGAGCTCCTGGGTATGACAAGAGTGACTTCCATCACCCACTGCCCACCACCAGGACCCCGTGACCTCATCAACACACAGTAAAGAAACTGAAACAACACTGTCACACCACTGTTTTAGTATTTTTAAATATTATGTTCACTTAACCACATCAGAGAGTTCAATGTTCAAGAAAAACAAGTTAAAGCCCCCACAAGAGTTCACTGTATCCCTGACACAATGGAAACGCAATGGGGTGTTTCAACCCACATAATATAAATCTTTTCAAAATTACTACATTTGAGGTTTTTAAAAAATAAATTTTTATGTAACTTCAATATGAAAATGAGTCTAGACCCAACTCAGAATTGTCAATTCTGGAAACTGCATCACATTATACACAAGCTTCATATTCTATCTACTTTTTTGGAAAATATTTTCTACGAGTATTGTGCTTGCTAATTTTCAGCAGCAGTATACGTGTTAAAAAATATAAATTCTCACTCTATTACTGTGTTTGGTCAGATTTTTCATTTAAAAAAAATGGGAACAGTATGCTGAATTATAAAAGATTGAAAGTAGGCTACTGGTTTGTTGACAAGCTTTCAGCCTTAACCAGTCAGCATACTTCAGGGCTCACAACTCATTAGCTCCATCAGTCACCACTATGTTAAACGAGTTGATAAACAAGCAGACAGGGAAGTGTCAGAAAGAAGGAGGGGAAGGGTAAAAAGTACTTATTGAGAAAGGGGGAGAGTTCTTTGGGGCTATTTCCACTTAATCCTTGGATACTTTTATTGTATTAACACCTGGAAATCATCAATTTACAACTGTTTTACCCATTTCGACAAAGGGTGAAGCAAAGCATAGTTTATCGGCCATCAGAGTCACCATGTAGCCATCCAGGACTACCACTGCACCATTGCTCTCACCATATCAGCCCAGCTCCCCTCCACTGCTCTATAGTATGGCCACCTATAGGGTGCACTTCATTTTCTATGGGATCAGTAACAGAAGGCAGCCTCCTCCCCAGGTGCAGGAAGAAAGACTCACTCAGCTCTCGTGGAAGCCAGTAAGTGCCAGTTCCTCTTTACTTTCTACCTTCCTCAGTGTTTCCCATAATCAGAACCTGACCCTTCTGTCTCCATTACTTCCTACGTGAAGCCCTGATATTTATTACTGTTTTTCTTGCTGGGCTCACAGAGAACTGGATAATACTTCAGTCTCTTGTGAAATCTGTAGTTACTTATGAATTTCATGATTGCATTTTAGTGCTATGTCTCCCCCTCAACAGTACTGGTCCATGGCAGCAGGGCTCTTTATAAACCTTCTTTCCCTCCTTCCATCAGACAGTTAATTTCAAGT